ATTTAAAAAATAGAAATTTATGAAAAACTAGACTTATGTTTGTGGACAAACATAGGGCTGTTTCGGTAATATGGAGTCACATGAAACGTAATGACGTAATCATGATGTCACTATATTACGCACTTCGGTCTATATAGTTACATACCAACTTTCAACCCAGTTCAGAAGATATAGGTTCATCAACCCAGTTCATCATATGTCATGTTATGACGTCATCATGATGCCACTACAATGTTAATCTATAATGCATCCCGGTCTAGGTACATACCGACTTTTAGCCCAATCAGTCATGTGGTTCAGGAGAAATATGCCTTCAAAATATGTTTATTGACTATGACGTCATATGTCACATGATGACGTCATCATGACACCATTTTTTTTTCTTTATAAGATATCCTAGTCTAGGTACATGTATATTCCAACTTTGATCCCAATCGGACCTGTAGTTCTTGTAATACGGGCCTATAAAATATGTATTTTTACGATGACGTCATATGTCATGTGATGACGTCATGATGACATCACTTTCATCTTCATCTATAACACATCCCGCTCTAGGCACATACCAACATTCAACCCAATCAGACCTGTAGTTCTGGAGATATACGCCTGTAAAAGATGCAATTTTCCTTATGTCGACACACGTCATGTGATGACGTCATCATAACGTCACTTCAATTTTCATCTGTAACACTTTCCAATCTAGGTACATACATACATCTTTCAACACAATCGGACGTGTAGTTCTGGAGATATAGCCCAATCTGTCAGGTCTAGCCGAATTCTGCTCGAAAATGGTCACAACAGAAAAGTCGCATATAATGTGACATCACGTGACTTATGACTTCACGATGATGTCAATGACGTCACGATGATGTCAATGTTTGGGGAACATCTTCAGATGCTGGTCTAAGTGTGTGCCGAGAATAAAGGCAATCAGATTAATTTTAGTGGCCAAAGTGCCGGTGACAAAAATACATGTACAAATGCTATGGACTTGGGCTGAAAAAGAAAAAAAAAAGAAACTAGACTTATGTTTGTGGACAAACATAGGGCTGTTTCGGTATTTTTTGTGACCTGTGACATGTAAGGTTTGAAGTACATGTTCCGTGGTAACGTAAGTGATATACCATTTTTTTTATCAAGTACCGCTATTCCAGTACGAGTACTTTGTTTTAGCGAGTACTGTTATTCGAGTACGAGTACTTTGATGATCGAGTAGAATTTCGACATGTGCGAGTACGAGTACTTTGCTGCTCGAGTATGAGTACTGTTGTATCGAGTACGAGTATACTTTGACATTCGAGTGCGAGTACGAGTACTCCAAAAAAAGTACTTGAGTAGTACTCGAGTATGAGTGCTGAGCACGAGTACTACAACACTGACTTTAATTTTGCCCTTTCATTACAAGCATTGGATTAACAGGCAAGTACCAACCCCTCGTGGACTCACAAATCACCTTTGATTTGAGGAAGTCCACTTCTGGGAATTCTCTTACCTGCATGGGAGTTCCAGTGTCCAGACTAGGTGTTAGAGGCAATTAACCTGTCCTGACAGTTGGGATGAGATGCCAAGGCAGCCGAGAGGGCTACTTGTCCCATTTGGCTTTCTGATCGTAGAATGTCCTAATGTAGCACAAGACGAAGGTTGATGGCATTTTCCAGGCAGCCGCCTGTAGAATGTTTGGCAGAGGAACGCCTTAATACAAAAATGCCTGTGATGTCGTTAATGCTCTCGTGTCATGAGCATGGGCAGGGTTCTCTGAATGTGTAGGCCAATCTGGTACGAAAGAGTTGATTGTCCTAACTATCCATCGGAAGATCGTGTCCCATGATGCCCTTGAATTAGGCTGAATTGTCGTGATGAACAGCTGGGTGGCCTTACCCCTTAGGGGCCTAGTTTGGGTGCAATACCACTTGAGAGCCAAAATCGGACACCAGAGTATGTCATCTCAGATGGAAGTGATGGTTTTTATCTCCAGAATAAAAATATCTGATGGTTGGAAATATGTTGACTGATTCTGTACCAGGAACATTTTATGAGGGACCAGTCGAACTCCAGTGATATCCATCGTACATGACCCTGCTCTATGGTAAGGGCAAGCAGCTCACTGTGTCTCCTGACGGTAGCCGCTGCTACCAGAAAAACTGTTTTTAATATCAAGTGAAGCAGAGAGGCATTGGCAAGGGGCTCATATGGAGGCTTCGTCAATGCCGACAGAACTAACCCGAAGTCCCAAGCAGGGACTAATCATTGCCGTGGCAAGCGACTTATAAACATATCCCAATTAAGATGTTTTAAGAGGATGCTGTTTGAAACTGTTGATCAATCAGAAAAATCTGTATTAACTGCCACAATTGCTGAACGGTAGCCTCGAACTGGAGAAACGAGAGGCCTTGCGTAACCGTTCCATGAGGAAATCACTGATTTGTCTGACAGATGCTGTTGATGGATCAATGTATACACAAGTTTGTCTGCACCATTTATTATAATGTTGTAGTTGGCTTTTATATGACTGTCGTGTTGAGGCCCTACAACTTTGGGCAGTAATGGTTGCAGCATTTGCCGAAAGTCCTGCTGTTTGGACAGATTGTTCAACAATAGCCAACACGTCAGGTGAAGTGACTCTGGCTCTGGCAGTAGGATATTGGAGCAGGGTTGATCAAGAAGATCTACCCTCTGAGGCAGTATTATTGGTGTGTGAAGCAATATCCAACTCTATGTTCCTAAGAACCTTCGGAGGGAGAGAGACTGGTGAAAACGATACATCCAAGCATGTTTGCCCAGCTTATGGACATACATTGCCCAAGCATTGGGATCGGGACTGTGTGTGCAGTATACCTGCAGATGGTTGTTGAGGGCTGATGCAAACAGATCTATGTGTGGGCAATCGAGCCTTTGGAAAATGTTCTGGACTAACGATGGGCGTAGTGTCCATCCCATCGGGATAATTTTCCCCCTGGAGAGAGCATCTACCATGAGGTTCAGCTTGCTGGCAATGCGAAGTGTCGTCAACGTTATGTCGTTCGTTATGCACCACATTAGGAGATCCCAAGTGTGTAGACAAAGCTGAGGGGATCATGTGCCTCCTTGATGATTTATGTAGGAGAAAACAGTGGAGTTGTCTGGTACTGCGTGATCTTTTGGAACCTGTAGCAACTATTGTCTGGACAGTTGGCTCTGCCCATCGTCAAGAGGTTTTGCCCACCATCAAGATTTTAATGATTCAATCACAGATCCTCTACACAAGAATGAATGATATCCCCAAATTTCTAGTTACATGCGTGATATGGCACTTGGGCGTCGTGCGTGCGCGTGCTCAAGACTCGGTGCACCACTGCAGTCTTTCAGTGGTCAATTTCTGTCAGGACGCCAGCTGTTGGGATCATGGCACGCACGCAGTGGCGTAGCCAGGAATTTTTCAGTGGGGGGGCGCTGGGGGGGCTGGAACATTTCATGGGGGGGCGTCAAGCAGGGGCGTCAATCGCTTCTCAAAAGTGGGGGGGGGGGGACATACCTTGATCATAACTGATGCAAGCGCAAAGCCCTTATGGCGTGGGGTTCGGGGCCTGCTTAAGGGCCCCGAAAAAAAAATGGTTTCTAGATGTTCTGTGGTGTGATTTGAAGCAATTTCTTACGACTCTCCTCCATGCTTTAACTAATATTTTCTTGGCAAAAGATTATTATTTGAACATCGTTTTCGAGGTTGGAGACATTGAATCAGCTATCGGTATTCTGAGCTATTGGCGTGGGGATCGGGGCCCGCTTAAGGGCCCCGAATTTTTTTCGATGCTCTGTGGATTTTCGATGCTCTGTGGTGTGATGTGAGGCAATTTCTTACCACTTTAACCGATAATTATCTTAGCACAAAAGTTAATAATTTAAACATAATTTTCGAGGTTTTCTCAGCTAAAGGCATAAGAAAATTTTGTGAACATTGTTTTCGAGATTGGAGTCATTGAATCAGCTACCAGAATTCTGAGCTATAGGCGTGGGGTTCGGGGCCCGCTTAAGGGCCCCTAAAAATTTTGGATTCTAAATGCTCTGTGGTGCTATCTGAGGCAATTTCTGACCACTTTAACCAATATTTTCTAAGCAAAAGATACATTGTAGTACATAATAGGGCCCATGGCGTCATGTAGATCAATGATAATTTTTTTAGAAACTAAAAATCTCAGTGGGGGGGCGACTGGGGGGGCGACAAGGTTTCATGGGGGGGCGGTCGCGCCCCCCCCCCCCCCCCCCCCCCCCGCCCCCCCGGTGGCTACGCCACTGCACGCACGCATTGTTCTACATGTTCTATGCGCAGATGCGGCATATCACGCATGTACATGTGTACAATCTGTGCCATAATTTTGTACACAAGCTCAGATGAGTCGTTTATCCTTGTGTGGAAGATCCGTGATTCAATCAAGTAAATTATGACTTGGATTCAGTCTCTTGACAGAGCCCCAGTACAAAACTTTGAGTTTCCACTAGTTCTTTTAAAAACCATACTAACTCACTAAACAGATTTCAAGTCACATGGTGCAACCACAAACATACTCTTAAAATACATAGTTGGTCTTAAAAGTCAAACCATAATTTTGATCACTACTTTAATAATAAAGACCTAAAAGGCCGAAAAAAAAAGTCTCCGGTTTCTGGTATGGAGCTTGCCCAAAAAGTGGTGTGGCGACGCGGCTTTTTTTTTTTTTTTACCTGTCTTTTTTGCTTCAAATGTCGGCTGATGACTGCAAATGGTGCCCGACTAAACTTAGTGCAAATATATGGAAGTCCGGAGAGGCAACATAAAGCTTATTCTCGATCATAACCCCATCTAAAAACACGTTTAAATTGTGCAGCAGCAGGATTCCAGTCTAACCAGTGAGTATGGCTGTTTTTAGACATCATCTTTTATTGAAAAAAAAACTTTTTCATTTTGCCGACGCACATGGCTACGGCGACGCGCGCGCATACCAGAAACCGGAGACTTTTTTTTTTGGCCAAATGTAACTTACCTCAATATTAACAATATTGTTTTGAGCAAGACCAAGGACTTCCAAATCTTTAAGATGGCTGATGTTGGTAATTTGGCTGATACAATTACTGTAGAGGTGCAAAATGTTTATCTTCTTGCATGCACTGAGACCCTCGATCACCTGCACAAGATACAAAAAGTATTCATGTAAGCAACAGTTGAAAAGTATGATCTACATGTACATGTACACGTAGCTCTATTCTGTCTATGGCTTTAGCCCTGTCCGCACTGGACTTTTTTTGGTAAAACTTAGCGAGACTCTGGGTACTTTTCCCATTTTAAGTCCAGCGCGGACAGCCTAGGACATTTTCCTCTCAGTTACTTTTCCTGAGTCCAGCGGTTACTTCTATTAGCCAGCTGATGCCCAGGAAAACTGACCAGGTGCCCAGGAAAACTGACCAGGTCACTTTTCCCCGAGACAATAAGTCCAGTGCGGACATTGCGAGTCGGTAAAAGCGGCTCAGGAAAGCGTACATCCGGCCGGAACGCAAGTATCATGCATACAGAGACCGCACGATCCCACACGTGATGTGGCCGAACATTTTGTGGAAACACGTACGCTGCAGTGTGTCAAGTCCGAGTGGTAAAATCTCGTTATAAATATATTTTAACGGAAAATACATTCACAGAAAAGATCAAGATCACGTTCTGGGAATTACTTTGCAGTTATTCTTTTTTCTCCACCGATGTTTGTTTGGTATTTTCTACGATCCAAATTTGTCATGTTACGCCGTGTAGTCTGCATGGCTACCGTACATAGGCCGCAGTCACTGGTTCCGGTCCTACATCATAGCTTTGATTCTGTTAGCATGCGGTGGGAACCAGCGATTACCGATGGAAGTGCTGCCGCACGGAACATCGTACAGTGGCATGGCTTCGATGTCTTCCATCACAAATGCGTCAGAAATATAGGCATTTTCGTCAAGATTTATCGTGTCTTTATCGTTTACCGTCTATTTATCGTGGCTTATAGATTCGTATTGTCCTAGAGAAGATACCAGTATTTAGAAGGGGTGACACCTGAAATTCATAAATCATTCATAAATGCCTAAATTGCATAAAGCATACATGTATATACCAGCCGTGTAATGATTTGTTCCCATATTTGTTTTACATTTGTTTGGTTTGTTTATTTTTTTATAGTATATTTTGGTGATTCTACTTAAACATCCTTATTTCATTAACATTTTCTAAAGCATTTTCTAAAAGAGGCAGGAGCTGTTGTTACGAAGTCACTTCAAATCCAAGCAGACAACATAACAGACAAAAATTTAAATAAAGGGAAAGGAACACTCAAATGAATGAGGATCGGAATCAAGGAGTTTTTGGAAATGAAATTAGAATTATTTTAATTATTTACAATCCACAAATTAACACACAAAAACCAGATTAAATAAGCAGATGGGAAAGCAATTAATTATACATTACAAATCAAGTAAATCATATCATACGGTTGGCCATTGGTGAGAGGGGAGGTACCTCCAGAGGGTGGAACCCTGGACTGCAGTCTGCCGGAAAAGTTCGGAAGTCGCGAGAGAGAGTTCTTGTCATAACGACTTGCGTCTTGATCGGCGACCTCCGAAACCGGGCGCTTGGTGTGATGGACGGTACGGGTGTAGACCGGATCAGGGGAACGATTGTGCTAGCTGACCAGTCGACGAAGTGCCATAGCAGAGGGGCGTGGCACCGGCGGGAACGGCACCAAGACACTGGCCCAAGCCAAGGAGAGCCAAGTCAGCGGTCAATCTGGCAGTCGTGGTGGTAGGGACCGTGCCCCGTGCAGACGGCAACGGGCAAGGCACGGCCAAGTCAGGGGCCTCAGCAAGCCAGACAGTCGGGCAGCATGGCATCGCCGGAGAGCGAGTCCCTTGACCACACCTCAGCAAAATGCAGTTCAGAATCTTCAGAACGGCGAAATTCCAGAGCTTTTAAGTCCGGCAGGGAATTCCAATGTCCATTCCACTGGTTAGGAATGTGGGTTGGACTCCAGCGCAGAGTCCCAATGCGGGACCAAAAGTTTGTTGCAACAAAAGGGGACTATGCAGGACGATCGCGGGCCATTGGCCTAATTTACATGAAGTTAATTTGCTTAAACCTTAAACAATTTACGAATTCTTAACACTGTGCAGACATTGTATGGGCACAAAATATGCTGACCTCAGTTGTTATGACAAGAAAATGGGACTTCCACAAGATGGGCATTGATACGTCACGAGCTTTCGATACCATCAAGGGGAAACGCATCCTAGATGTCCTACTACAAGCAGGCTGCAATGAAGATGAACTAAAACTAGTAAGATCACTGTTAGCAGGGACAAAGCTCAGGGTCCGTGAAAAAAAAACGAGCTGTCAGACCCATTTGAGACCCTAATAGGATCCCCCAGGGTGATAGCCTATCACCAGCACGTTTCACCTGCTACCTTGCCGCTGCACTCTCATCCGTCCGAGAAAGCTCCAACAGGCCAAACCCACCGGTCTCCAGCCTAGGTCTGCCACTAGAAATGGAGTACACAGACGATGTTGACTTCCTGGATGAAGAAAAGAAACCCCTGGACCATCTCCAGCCAGTAGCAGCGGAGAAACTGAAAGTCGACTACTTGTTCATGAACGAGACCAAGACCCCGTTCCCACTTGATCCACCAATTGGGGGATCTGATCCACCTTTTGCCAAATTGCCGGATCAGATCCCCCAATTGGTGGATCAGATCCGGCAATTGTGTGTAGTGGGAACGCTAACCGTTATAAGGTGGATCAGGATCAGATCCACCTTTTCTGATCCACCTCTGGACCAGGATACAGATCCCCCAATTGGTGGATCAGATCCGGCAATTGCAGGATCACGATCAGATGGGAACGCAAAAGGTGGATCTGATCCGGCAGTTTGACCTGTTAACATCCGCCCGGTGCACGAGTGGCGCGAAAATGTTGCGGTCTCATGAACGAAGAAACACGTTTTCAGGCGTGTAGCTCATGTGGACATTTCCAGCATTTACAACATGCACAATAAACAACCGCTGAACTACGGGCTAGCACCGCGCATGCAAAAGCGCACGTGGTATCCTAAAACTACACTATAGGCCTTATTTTTGTTGCGTGTTCGTCCATTACTAAACCTTTTTCATTCCTGAAATTTTACTTATTTTTCCATCCATAAATGACTCTGAGTCCGCACTCACCAAAAGACTTCACTTTGGCACAGAATCATTGAAAAGCTTACGAGTATGCGATGGGAATAGTGCCGATAACGCGGTACGTACGGGGGTGACAAATCTGAAGTATTGATTATAGAAAATTGGAAAATGATGTCGTAGTACATCATGTGACCGTTTCTAACCAATGAGAAGCTTCAGAACCAGGGAATCCCTTATCGATGCATTGGTTTCTGCCGTGATGTCACACGTGAGCGGCTCTGTTGGATTTCACCTTTTAATTTATGCACGCACGGATCCTCTACGGATCCGTGATTTATGTTGGTGAATTCGCGTAATTTTTGTCTGTTAATTCTGATAGTGCTGTTTGAAAACTGACCCATCCTGGCCTAGCATGCAACCATGCAACAATGGCACTCCCACAGAGCGCGCGTAATTCCGAACTAAGTGACCTTTCGGACCCAACATTTCCGTACGAAAAGGTGGATCAAGCATAAGTGGGAACGCGACTTGCGGTTTCGTTGCGGTAAGATAACGATCACACCAAAATGCCGGATCTTGATCCGCCTTTTTCCAAATCAAGTGGGAACGCGGTGCAAGACAGAGTTTACTTATGTATGTTTACTTATGGCCAAAGAGCCTTTTCCTTATCAGCAACCAGGCACGCTACTAACTGTGCAATGAAGAACCCCTCTCATCAAAGGTCACAAAGCAAAGATGGTCAAAAAAGTTGTGTGCATTTCCCTTGCCTCCAGATATCATCAAGTAGTCTTGCCAAACCTCAGTTTTGATGAGCTTCAAAATCACCAATTTCATTACTGGTACACTTTACACTTTACAGTTTAATGGGGTAATACCCCATTAAACTTTATATTGCACAGCAGGTATTAACGATTTATGCAAATTAAGCACCCTTCCAAAAATAATTTCAGGTGTCACCCCTTCTAAATATCTTCTTTAGGGCTAAATGAATCTATCTGCCAAATTTGGTGCCTTGGTCCAGTCGGTCACAATTCCAATCATATGCCACCTGACTAGATGGAGTTCAAATCTAAGATTTCTTCACATTAGGGGCCATTCGAAATTTTCAATGTTTTTAAATTTCAATTTTTGTTTTCAAATTATTTTGAACCACCCACCCACCCCCAATTTCGATTAATAAAAAAACTGATTTGTCATGCAGTATTAAAAATCCAAAAACATGTACATGCACTTGCATGTACATACATGTATACTTGAACATGTACATGTATACCCATGTACATGTGTGTGCAGTTCAGTGATGGCGTGAAGTTGTCAGTCTTCCTCTTTTGCACTGGTGTCCTGCAGATTTTTTGTGTTTCGCCAGCTGATATGCTGTTGGGAGAGACAGGTTGCAGTCTTAATTGGAAGCCACAAAGATGGCCGTGGTTTTGTCGTTTTCAGGATGAGGTGGGTGACATGTGAGATTGTGCCAGTCACGTGAGCTAGCTGAGAAAAACATTAGGTTTGGACAGACCTCACACAGAAGAGGATCACTAGAGGAGAGAGATGGGTAAGTTGTGCTGTCAGGTGACTCACAATAGCCTAGGCCTCTCCATAGAAAACAATATTTTAAAATAAACACAAACCCGAGTCTGAGAGAGTCCAATTTCTTCACAAATATTCATCTCAATAAAAGTCTGTTTGAGATTTCGAAATTATTTCTAAAATGGCCCCTTTTAAAAAGTTAGTCAATTCATTCACTCATTCATTCATATTGGTTTAATTCAATCCATTATCGCAGTTAAAAACTGAATTGCAATGGATTTAACAAAATAATAAATTATTTAACACCAAATCAACAAATTATTTGACAACAATCACCATTACAATTTACACACACAAACAAAAAACCATTAAAACACGAACAATGACTTTTACAGTTCACGTGTAAAAGTCAATGACAGTAAACAATAAACATAAGCAAGTCGGTCCAATTCACCCCATACAT